TTTATAAATTATCAAGGGTTCATGAGGGAAGGGGGAGCAGGGAGGGAGGGGGGAAATGAGGAGCTGATGCCAGGGGCTTAAGTGGAGAGCAAATGTTTTGAGAACGATGAGGGCAATGAATATAAAAATGTGCTTTGTACAATTGATGTATATATGGATTGTGATAAGAGCTGTATGAGCCCCCAATAAAATGATTTTTTTTAAAAAAGAAAAAAGAAAAAGTCTGTCCTTGGCATCAAAAACCAAAGTGTTCAAATCCCAGCTCTGCCCTTACCTTCCCATAGAACCAGGAACCTGCATGTGACCTTGCTAAGCCTCACCTCCGTCATCTGAGAAATGGGGATGTCCTCTGGACCTCACAGTGCAGGCTGGGTGACGGGTTTCCATGGGCATGAGGAGCCTGGAGCCCTGGACACTGCTGCCGCCAGCCGATACCCTCATCCATTTTCTTGCTCGATATCATTATGGAAACATGCCTCCTTGTAGCTCCCCAGTCTCCATATTTGTCCTTTTTAATGGCTGCGTACTATTCCACCGAGCAGAGGTGCTGCGAGTCACTCTGTCATCTTCACTGTGAAACATTTAGGCAGCTCCCAGGGTCTCACAGTAACAAATAACCCAGCGGGGAACCGCTCCGTGCCTGGAGCGCTTCTTCTCTGAGATATGATCCTCCCGGGCAATCCCAGGGACATTCACTGAGGCTGGTTTGCCAGAGAGGCTGAAGGATGGGCCAGCAGCAGTGAGGGGGAGAAAGAGGGCCCTTCAAGGGGTGGCAGCATGGGTAACCAGGCAGCAGGATGCTCGGTCTGGCAGCGCTGAGCACGATGGGAAAGCGGGGCATCTGGTGTGATGGTGCTGAGCCTAATGGGAAAGAAGGTCATTTGTGTGGCAGCGCCGAGCATGATGGGAGCTGTCGGGCCACCGTGGGACAGGCAATGGGTGTCAGGGACACAGCTCTGGTTTTGCCTTTGCCGCTCTCTTGGTGTGTGACCTTGGACAAGCCCCTTCTCTTGTCTGGACCTCGGCTTTCTCTGTGCCCTGTGACTGTGGAGTGGGCATGGGTTGGTCCAGAGCTGTGCCCTCCAGTGTGGTAGCCACTAGCCCTTGAGATCTAGATTTAACAGGATAGAACGTGAAAAGTCCACAGTGCTGCGTCGACATCGTCGGGCTCTGCTGCGTGGGACAGTGCAGACAGCGAGCATTTCCCTCCCAGAGGAAAGTTCTGTTGGGCGGGACCAGTGTTCAGGAGGCTTTTGTTGACTCAGATGTGCTGATTCCGGTCATTGCGCCTTTTCATGGAGCACAGCCCTGGAGGAAGAGCCTCCGGAGAGTCCTGGGCCGGAACTCCCCACACCTGGCTCCAGCTTAGCCTAGAAGAGAGGCTGGGGCCAGGGGATGGGCACTGCAGGGAGTGACCCTAGCTCCGGATGGAGCCCAGGGGAACCTGGGGTGAAGACAGGGTCGTGGTCTCCTGACGCCTCAGATGTGAGGCACGTGGAGGGCCCCCACGCACCCCACCCATGCCTGAGCACTACCGTTCACACCGTCGGGGCCGAGCGTGGGCATAGAACAGGGCAGGTATCTGTCCGTCTTGCTCAGCTCTTAGCTCCTCCCTCCTCTTGCTGCCTCTGCTGGTGCTTCTCGGTGGTCCCCGAGGGAGGGGCCGATAAGTGGGAGCTGTCGGACGCAACGTATGGCTTGAAGGCAGACTTGAGTGACTTCTAAAAATGTATATATTCCCTGGTGGTAAAACATATATATTGCTCTTTTAATCATTTTTTTTGAAGTGTACAATTCAATGATGTTAACAGCATTCACCGAGGAGTGCGACCTTGGCAACAGCTCGGTTTCAAAAGGGTTTCATCCCCTGATTTCCTAACGGTTGTTCCTAGGGCCTTGGGCTGCTAACCACAAGGTCAGCGGTTCAAAACTGCCAGCTGCTTCTCGGAAGAAAGACGAGGCTTCCTACTCCTGTAAAGAGTTACAGTCTCGGGAATCTACGGGGCTGTTCACTCGGTCCAATAGGGTGGTTATCAGTCGGAATGACTCTCTGGCAGTGAGTTTGATTTGGTTTAAGAAAATGGGAAAAATAGCTCGCCACCGCCCCTCCCTGCTGCTCCAGGCAACCTCTCCTAGATGCATGGCTTGGCTCCCGTCCACCTGTGCCTGCCCTTTCCTGCCTGGCTCACTTCGTTCGGCATCACATTTTCCAGGTGCCTCCATGCCGTGTCAGGAGTTGATTTCTTGTTGTGTGTGTGGGGGGGGGGGATGGGGATGGACTACCCGTTTTAAGGATGGACCACCGTGGCTTCTCCATCCGTCCACTGATGGGCTGGTGGGTTGCTTGCGGCCAAGGTGAACATTGCCGCCATGAACACCGATGTGCAGTGTGAATCCCTGCTCTCAGCCATTCGGGTCTGTGCCGCAAATCCAAACCAAACTCACGGCTGTCCAGTCGACCCCCACTGGGAACAGCCCTAGAGGTCCGGGTCGAACTGCCCCTGTGGGATTCCAAGGCTCCTGTAACTCTGTACGGGAAAGCTCCGCCGGCTTGGCTCTCACTTTTGCCAAGGTGTGACCGATGTCCTCATAAGAACTCCCCCGCTCATTCTCATCTCTCCTGTTTCCCAGGGATCTCCGAGCCATGTCCCGGCTGCCTTGAGTCTGCGAGGCCCCGCAGCCTCCACCAGCGGCCCCCGGGGCCAGCTCCCAAGCCTGCTCTTCGCTGCGGCCTGGGCTGAGGGAGCCCTCCAGCATTGAGACTCAGCGGGGGACAGCAGCAGTCACGGTAGGTGGCATCCCCACCCTGCCCACCTCCTGGCTCCTGGAGAGAGGGAAACCTTGTTGGTCTCTGGAACGGGAAGACTTAGCTTTCTGGTGTTTGCAGGGATCCTTCTGACTACAGGTAGCATAAGACCGATTTCAACAGGATGAAACTTTCTAGGGAACCAAATGTAACCCCAGGGAAGGCTCAATCCAGTGGGTCAGTGTGGCCAGGACCTGGCTTCTGGCCATACCCCTTCTCTCGTCTTTGGGCATGCCTCCCCAACAAGTGGTACCTACCTCACTCAGTAGGCTTGTAAGACAGCGGTCAGCAGGCTCCGGGGCTCCATGCGTCCAGGTTCAAATCCAGTGGTGGGGAGAGAGAAACTCTGCTTTCCTGATAGAACAAACCAAAGTTCCAGACTTGAATCTCGTGGGTCCTATTGGCAGGACTTGGCTCTTCTTGGCCTCTCACTGTGTCTACCCCCAACGCTTGGGCACCAGATGAGCTGTTTGCCATGCGACTGGGAATAAGAGAAGGTGTCTCCCAGTGGGAGTGTGGAATCCTATAGTCAGGAGAAGAGAGACTTTTCCAAGGGGGGGGAGGCGAATAAACTCCCATTATTGATGGAGTCTGCCTGGGTTGGAGAGCTTGAGGCCACCCCTCTGTGGATACGGATGGGCTGTGTGTTCTTGGGCAAGTCTCTATACCTCTCTGAGCCTTCGTTTGCTTACCTGAGAGTGGATCTCACCCGGCGGGGTTGCAGTGAGAACAGCCTGAGATGGCGGGTGGGGACCGGGGGGCATCTCGTAGGTGCTAGGTGAACCCTGGTTTTCTTCCCTTCCTGCTTCTCTGCCTCGGAAGTTTGGGGAACCCGCATGTTCTCAGTGCTGCAGAGGTAGTGCTAGAGGGGGTGTTCCCGGAGGCAGAGCCTGAGAAAGGGATTGTCTCCCTGTGATTTATTGAGGGCGGGTTCTGAGGAGGAAATGAAGGGCTGGCATGGGAACCTGTGGGGATGCTGCCTCAGGAACAGCCTCGCTGTGCCTACACCCAGAGGTTTTCTGGGGTGTGCTTCTCACCAGAGGGTTATCCTCCAGACCAGGGCCCCTCACGTTTGTGCCCCTGTATCGAGGCAGTATTGGCTGTGGGCCACCTCTGGGGGCTAGTTGTCCTGGAGCTTGGGAGTCCCTGTTTGCAGAGGACAGTTCTCTGCTGCAGGGGGAGGGTGCTAGGTGCACTGGTCATGCCCTGATCTGGCCAGGGAGGTGGAGCCTGCGGCCTCCCAGTCTGAGCCATCCTGTCTTGCCGCCTCCTCTGGCTTTTACTCCTCCTGCCTCAACCGCCATTCTAGCAGCATCCACCATGGGGGGCGCTGGGCGGCCCGGCCTGGGGTTTGGTGGTTGGATGGATGCTCACGCTTTCTCTTTAGGGTCCACCTCAGGCCAGACCTCTTCCAAAAGTTGCCTCCTGAATGTTCCTGCTTAGCCCAAGAGAGGCTGGAGGAGGGTGGGCTCTGCAGGGAGTGCCCCCACCCCTCCACCCAGGGTGGAGCCAGGGAGCCTGGTGGGAAAGCAGAGTGGGTGGTCTCTCATTGCTTGGATGTGAGGCACGTGGAAGCCAATGCTGCTCTCAGCCCAGGCTGAGCACCGCTCACCCCAACCCCTTGCCTGCCCTCTGCCCCCCAGCCTTTTCGCCCTTTCATGGCTCCTCCTCTGCTCCCCTAAACCCCAGCCAGATGGTCTTCCTCACCTATTCCCCCCAGACTGCTTTTCCAGGGCCATATGAGGCCCCTCCTCCCAGAAGCTTCCGTTGACTGCTCCAGCCAGTGGCTAGCTCCCCTAGTCCAGCCTCCAGCTCCCCATTTGTACAGATGGAAAGCCCAAGCTCAGTATGCAGTGAAGACCTGCACAAGCCAGCAAAAGAGAACCCACTGTCTTAGCTCTGAGCCCAAGCCTCTCCTGTGTTTCCTCATAAATACTGGCCACTGGCTGCGCCAGCACTGTCTTGACCTCTTTGCCTTGGCTGCTAGGAAGCTCACAGGCAGTCGGCGGCCCGTTTCTATAAGCACGAGGATGCTGTGACGTGCAGTTTCTCAGTCGCCCTGCCTCTGGCTTTGTCCCCTTCTCCCTCCTTTTCTCCTTGTCTCGGTCTCGTCTCTTGCTTTGGTTTGTGCCGCTTGCATCACTACTGTCAGGAGCCTCGAGCTCGTGGGAAGGAGGCAGGGTGTGAATCACCAAGACTGGCTGCAAAGGAAGCAGTCCGTGGTGCTGACTGCAGCCAAATGCCGGGGCTCCCTCTCCCTCGTGCGAGGCTGCCTCCCAGGCGGGGGACCTGGCCTGCCAGTGGGCAGCTCCGGTGCCATCTCGTGTCCACCTCACCCTCCTTGAGCCCGAAGAGCATTGTTCGGCTTCCCGCCCTCCCCTCCCCATCTTATCAGAAGCTAATGAAAGAGGCTGGGAAACCCAATCCTTTGGTAATTAAATTTACTTAACGGGTATTCAAGTGGAGTAATGAGAAGTTTAATGCAGTGATTAGATTTTTCTTTAATTAATTAAAATGAGAACCATGTGCCTTGCCAGCAAACCAACTTGACCCTCTGCTTGTCAGCAGCAGAAAGAGTTGGCAGGGGCCTGGCAGGGTGGTGGGGGCTGGAGGGGCAGCACGGGTACTATGGACTCCCAGAAGCAAGCTCGGCTCTGATGCCCACTCAGGCCGATCTCAGAATCAGCTCCTGTTTCTGACCCATGTCAGTGCCAAGCCTGGTGACCCAAGTCCACCAGGGCCCAGGCAGCCAGCAGTCCCCCCCACCCCCCACCCCCCTGCCCCTCAGGTTGCTGAAAAGGGAATGTGGGGAAAGTGTGCAAATACTGTGTAAACTCCCTGAGAGGGCGGGGCCTGGAAGAGGCCCAGATGGAGGGTGGCCTGCAGGAAGGGAGGGCCAAAAGAGGGACTCTGAATCAGCCACCGGGCCCAGGAGGGCAGTGTGTCTACCTGGAGAGGGTCAGCTTGCCTCACGTCCACCTAGATGCCCAGCCGGATCTGGCCCACCTCCACTGGCACGGCCTATCTGGGCTAAGGGGATGGGCCGGGTAATGGAGAAACCACACACCACTGCTTCTGCCTGCTTTGGAGGTACCTCTACCCCCCAAAGCCTGGCCACCCCTGCTGTGTTCCCCAAGGCCAGATCTGGAACTGCTACGAAAGAGTTCCTGGTGGGGCCACTTCTGTGGGGATCAGGCAGTGGGCAGGGGTGGGGCTGGTGCTACAGGAATCTAGGGGCCCCAGCATAAATGTCTGGGGAGCAGGTGAAGGGGCCCTGAAGAGAAGACCCAACACCCTACGGGGTGGGATGCATTGTCTGCACAGGGCAGGAGGGGCCCGGAGCCCTCGTGGGATAGGGGTAGCGTCCAGAGAAGTTCCCTGACCCTATACTGGGCCCCAATCCTGCACAAACTAAACCCTGATCCTAGCTCCACTTGTGAGCCATGACCCTGGCCCCGAGTGCTGGATCCAGCCTTGTCAAGGAGATGCCAACAGGGATCAGGGAGCCAGCTGGGCGATGTCGTTGGCTGCATCTGTCCAGCCTGCTCCCTGAGCCCCGGGCAGCCCGCACTGTGCTCTATGGGCGGGTCTGCTGCCAACGGCCCAGTGGGTGCATCCAATGTGCTCCCTGCCTGCTGGCTGCAGTGGAGGCAGTGAGCAAACAGGCCGAAGGCAGGGGAGGAGCTGCAGGAAGAGGCACCACTGCCCGGCTAGAAGCACCCCTGGCCTGGGCGGCCTGCTGCCGTCCCAACTCTGACAGTCCTGGGCATCAGCTCTTCTGGGACTTCTCCTCTAGCAAGACCCGGTGGCAAAGTGGGGTTTGCATTGGGCTGCTAACCACAAGGTCAGCAGTATGAAACCACCAGCCCTTCTACCCGAGGGAGACAAGGTTTCCAACTCTTACAAAGAGCTGCCCTGCCTCGGGGTCACTCGGAGTCAGAGTGGACTCGTGGCAGTGAGATTGGAGAGTCTAGATTGCTATAAAGAAGTTACCGTCCTGGAAACCCCAAGGGGCAGCTCTGCTCTGCCCTGTCGGGTCTCTCTGAGTGGGAATCAGCTCCACAGCAGTGAGTCCATCTTTAACCTGTGAACATAGCCTGGGGGCTGGAGCCTGGCTTTAGGCTGCAGGTTGCAGCTGGGCTTCTATGAATGGGGTGTGTGAGGAGGACTTAGCCAGGCAGAGAGCGGGGCTTAAGGCAAGGCCTCTTCCCATAGGCCTGGTCCAGGGGTCTGAAGGGCTCAGGGTTTGCAGACCCCATGAAGGAGGGTCTTCTGCTTCTTCCTTCTCCGCCCCTTCCCCTTCTTTTCTGGACCCCACCCCATTTCCCTCTCCCACGAGCTGGTCTTAGTTGAATAACTAGGCCCGGAGAGCCCTGCCTCCCCAGCAGCTGTGCACTGCCCAAATGGGACACGTCCACCTTGTCTTGATTTGGATGGCGGCAAAGCCACTGTCCCATCTCATCTCATCATCTCACAAGTCTGGGTTGGCTTATGACCCACAGGGGAGGGAACCAAGGCTCACCTGGTCAGCTTGCCTGGGCCCAAGCACCCTTGCGGCTGTCCCTCCTCGCCTGCAGGCTGCTCGCCCGCCTCCTTCTCTCCAGAGCCCTGGCATGCCCGCCCTGTTGCACCCTGCTGATTCCCTCCTTGCCTTGTGCCCCAGCCAAAACCAATGACTCTTCCCCAACACTCCCCACCCGTCTCCACCTCCACGCTCAAGCTGTTCCCACCCCCTGAAGCCCCCCTCCTCCAACTCCATCTGTCCAAATCCCTTTCATGAACCTCCTGGGCTCAGCCCCAATGCAAATCCTACATGAAGACCCCCCCACACCACACCCTGTCTGCCCTCCACCCACAGAACCGGGGCCTCCCTCCTCTGAGCTCGTTGTCTTCCCTCTTGTAGACTCGGGGCCTCCCTGTGTCTCACGGAACAGCTGTCTCCTCCTACCCAGCAGGCCCGGCCAGTCCCCTGCATGGCCTGC